AATCTCAAAAAACAAGAGGCAAAGTCAGTGGCGTAGCTAGAGTAAACGTCACCCGGGGCGGTCTGCTTAAATGTCACCCCAATGACCCCGATTCACCCTATGCTGAATGGTTAGCTGTAGCTAAATTTTCATACATGCTCTACCTCTACTTTACTCTACTGACCGATATGTTACTGTTTACATGTATGATCCAAGACAAAATCCAATACCACAAAATAATCAGTTCAAATCAAAAGATTTTTAAAATGCAACTGTTCACTTTCAGAACAACTAAATACAAACACGGCAATACACAAAAGAATGACATTCGATACTATGGTCTTAGAATGAATGTTTTCTTGTTTTCATTGTGGCAAACTGGTCAATGACATCGTCAAAATCTGTTTGTCTTGTAAGCTCGTTTTCAATGGACAGCACAGCCAGATCCGACAGTCTCGACTGGCTCATGGTTGACATAATTTTATGCTGCTAATTTTTTGGTGTCCAATTTTCCGTTGCATCATTTTCTGGGTACCATTTAATTATCAATGATGTTTGAAAGTATTTTTCTTGACAAAAATGTTCTATTTAATTTTTAAGCATTTTTTGGAACATTGTAAATCAACTGCATTTTTTTAAAGGTTACCTAGAGAATTTTGTTTTTCTTTATACAAGTAAAATAAATTTACATCGTATTTTGATGTTATTATGATTTTAGTTTTAGTGTTAATTTAAAAACAATAAATATTTATCATTAGTACCAATAATGGAAAATTAAGTTAAAAATTTAAAAGAATTGTTTTTGGAATCGGAAAATAGGCACAAATTTTTCCAATTCTGATACCGTTTCCGATACCCCAAAAAGTTCTGATTTTCCTGATTCTCGATTCCGATTCCGATTAATCATCTCAACACTAGTAGATATATTCAAAAGTATATCGCTCACTCAATGGAAAATTGTATCTCAGCGAATTGATACACAGGCAAGACTGAAATTGTTGCACTTTTGGCTTCATATTTCGCTTTGTTGTTATTAATGATGCAGAGTTAAAACACCATACCATCTGATAAAATTTTACAACAATGTCTCTTGTTAGTAACCAAGATTGTAGCAACTGAAACACATGAAAGCTGAAAACATAGCTATTTTTCCTACTCACAAATTTCCCGACAATTTATTAGAAAATTTCTGATGGGGGGACAAGACTTGAGGGTCACAAATTATTTCTGGGGGGTCATATGCCCGCCTGCGAAACCCTGTGTCTCCACCACTGTTTTCAGACTATTTTTGGCACCTTAGTCTGAATGAGAAATTTTGTTGGGGGTGACATTGTGTCACCCCCTCCTGTGCTGGCACCCAGGGTGGTCCGTCAGCTACACCACTGGACAAAGTCTTTTCATTGTTTACTGAAAAATCTAAAACACAAAAACTTAAATGTGGTTTTTGTTATAGTGGAACACACCTATTCTACAGTTAATAGACTCTTCCAACTATAATAAGTAGTAGTAATAGTAATGAGTTGGCTCAGTGAGTTGGTTAGTCAGTTGATGTCGGACGACCATTAGTCGGATATTAAAGTATCAGCCACCACAACTAGATTACTGCATCATTAACTATTATCTATTATTATATTTTCAAACTCACTTAATCTACCTTAAAGTCCTGAAATGGCATCCTCAGATTTCATTTATCTGGAGGTACTCAGAAGATAGTGATTCTATAAGAATGATAAATGAAAGAAGTACCTCATATATAGCTAAAAAAGAAGCCAGGAAATTACTACAAAGTGGGTATATATATATATATATATATATATATATATATATATATATATATATATATATCCACGTTCATGAGTGGATTACCATGATTGAGAAAGAAGGAAATTATGTTGAAAACTAGATTTGGAATCCTGAAACATTTGAGTTTATTTTGCTATACTTTTTGTCTGACACTCTTAATTTCTTTTATTTTTATATGGGGATAAAAAATTGACCCTTTTTATTTACAATTATCCTGAAAGATATGTTAATACATTTTAACTATGTAAGTATTTTATTAATTCAGGTAAACACTAGCTTTTATTTAATAATTTGTTACAGAAATTACTGATTTAACATTAGGGAATTGCTCTATCAAGAAAGTATAACAGTTACAGGATCACTCTGAAAAAATCAGTTGAATGGCTTGTAAACAGACATACTACACAACATGAAAATAGAAAGAGAATTTTAATCCATTGAAATCAGAATGTATTTTATATAATGGTACTGTAATAACAACAATAATGAATCTTTATTCAAATCATTCATCTTTGCTTTACTTATGGTTTCTATAATATTTGTATATTCAATAATCTAATTTATATAAAAAAAACTAAAAGAAATTTTTTTTCTTCAAAAAGCTAACATATCAACAATAATTAAAAACCTTTTGATCAAAAGATATTTAGGCGTGAATAAAACTTTTCAGCACTTTTTAGGAGGAACTTTCTTTTTTGGAAAATCTATGCAAAAGCAGAAAAATTCTTTGGGTAATATGTTTCATTCTATAAGGCTTCATCTGACCAAATGATAAAAGTATCACTTATTTTACACAGCAAATATTTATTTTTAAACATAATCTACTTCCCTACCAATGTACTTAATTTAGAGATGAATATTAATCACATGTATTGAGCATTATACAATGAAAAGTTCAGATAAAAAATGAACTGATATATTGTCAAGCCACAGCTTTAGTGATCCATGATCCATGACTGTAGATATGTAGCCACTTTAGTTTTAGAATCAAATGAGCTTTTTTCCAGTTCAAAATTGTCTTGTGAATTTCCTGGAAGTGCTTACTGCATCTTAAAATGTCTCTTTTATAGTTTATGCCCATTTTTAACAATAGATTGTATGCATGTATGTGTGTATGTATGATAAGTCTGTAGACACCTCTGTTGTAATATATGTCCATAATCTCAGAAAACTTGGTGTTTTCTTGTGGTTTCTCTATCTCAAATTTATCCTTCTCCTACACTGGTTGCCATCCAAAACTAGAAAGTCTAAACTGTTTTCCTATTTAATATATCTCATGGGAGAAGAGATTGGTCCATACCTTTCCAAGGGTATTTTCTCAAAATAAATTGCGTGATGTATAAAAAGTGTGTATAATGTGTAAAAATTGTTATGACTACTTTCATAAAATGACAGCCTGCCTTAATTTTTGACTTAATCAGATTTATTTTTATTTTTTGGTCACAAATCCTTTGAAGATTTTCAATTTTATTTCCATTGGTAAACCAGAATAATTTATCTACCTCAATTTTCTCTGGTTGGCACATGGAAGCATCCTTATTACTCAGGAATTATTTTGAGATGAATATTATCTATATTTTCTAACACACTAATATTTTTCAATTGTCATCAGTTTATTTTCGCTATTTTTATTTCTTGAGAATAGCCTAATTTCTAAATTTTTATGGTTAGCAAACATTTGGTAAATTATTGGCAGTTTATGCAGATTGAAGAACATTTTTATGAAAAATCTTAGGCAAAAGAAAAAAGAAATTAATAATCAGGAGAAAATTGACTTATAAATAATGTTAAATAAATAACATGATTAAGCCCTTAATCTAGTGTTTAGGCTTACTAATTTTTTTTATTTATTATTTGCTTATACAGGGTGCAATTGCTAAAGTGTCACTATTCTATATTTTAATTTTGCACATGCACATTGTTTGTTTTTGATTTTCTTAACTGCACAGTATAGTAGGGTCAGTTGGGCACTGACTGCTGAGAAAAAGGACACCATGAAGGAATTCACTCCACCAGAAATTTAGAAACGGCATACTGTACTGCTTGGCATTCATGCCAGCAGCTCTGATACAAACATTTCTGAGTGTTTGGGTATCAATCTGATGACAGTGCAGAAGATTTGGAAAGACGGATGAGTCTAATGGTGATTACAAATGTGTTTGGAGTTATCACCAGTGATGGTGATGTCATGGCTCCATTCATCTTCCCATGGGGCCTCAGTTTGAATAGAGCCTACATCAAGTGCCTTGAAGAGGTAGTGCTATCCTGGGTCAAGAGGGTGGCTGCTGGAAGATCCTGTGTCTGACAGCAGGACTCTGCACCATACCACAGAAGAAAGAGAACCCAGTCATGGCTGTCAGACAATTTAAGCAACTATATCACCCATTGCATCTGGCCACTGAACTCTCCAGACTGCAAACCTCTTAATTATTATGTGTGGAGTACCAGTTGTGCAAGAGAGCAACAAAACTCCTTATAACACCAAAGATAAACTGAAGACAAGAATTATGACAGCATTCACCAACTTATACAAGGAGACTGTCCTAAAGAGATGTAGGAGATTCCAAAGTTGTCTGGATTCCATGGTTGAAGGCAATGATGATTTTAATGAATAAATTTAGTCTTTAGTATTTGAAGATATTTTTGTGTAATTTTGGTAAATATATTTGTTAAAATGAGATGTCAGTGTTATTTTCATTTTTGCATAATTTAGGTGACAATTTATCCATAGCATCATGTATATATAGTAAGTATATTTGAATTTAATTGTTAAAGATATTGTAGTTTTTTTCATGTTTAGAAGCAAAGAAACAATAGCAAAATGTAGTCAGTGTTATTTTTCATTAATAAGAATTTTGTATTATATTGCTCTTTTGATAACTATGATTTTATATAAGTTAAAAAATGTAAAACATCTTTTCAAATATTTTATGACGAATATCTCTCATAAAGATTATACAAATCATTTTACAGACTTTATTCACAAATATTACATCATGTCTTTTCAAAATTACTTTTACTAATATGCCATACTTTATACTGAAACAACATTGAATAATATTTAAAAATTCAGAACATATACATTTCTTAATGTCAGCTCCATATAAATTTCTATATTATAACATTAGCAATATTTTTATCACCATATATCTTGGTGAAAATTATTTAAATACAAATTCATTTTTTTCTATTATTAATCATAAACTAATTTGTCTTACCTGAATAGGTTTCTCTTCTGGTACTGGGGAATGTGATTCTTTTGGTTGTGGTGAAGGTTGTTGAGTTTCAGGGGTGGTGGCACAAGTGTTAGTACTTGTAGAGGCACCAACAGGGCTGTTGGCAGCAATTGGTATGTCCACATTTGACCGGGTCTCCAGGGAGCCTGTATTAGTGAGTTGAGTCTCTTGACTTCCTGTTTCTGTGCACTGGGAGGGCGACTCGGTAGTCGCAGCTCGTTCATCTAGAGCTATCTTGCCATTTGATATTGCGTGGATGGACGGGTCCTTAACTTCTTTGATTTCTTTAAGGATCTCCTCTTTAACTGGAGTTTCCTCTGCTGTAGATTCAGCATCCAATACCACATTCAACGTCGCAACGGCATGGAGCTTTAGTGCCTTATCTTGAACTTTAGCTGAAAAATTGATGCAGAAGATGATTAATTATTATTAATGAGTTAAAGAATTTTCACAAACTCAGAAATTTGATAAGATTACAATGTTAAATATACAAGCATTTTTCAAACAAATTTCCAAAATTGAAACAGACTAAATTGGGAAATAATTAATTTTTTAATGGATGGCTTTCAATTAATTGACCACATGTATTTTGATAATTTCAAGGACAGGTTATATTTGCTTTACCAGTGACCTTCACCTATGTACTAAAGCTACAAGGTCATCTGTTTTTCTCTCATTACAAATAACTTCCAGTTAATTTTCTTTCATTTATCATTCAATGTCATATTTGGTCTAGTGCTTCCACTATATATCTAGAGATTCTTGACAAATTTCAAAATCTGTAATGTAATCAATCTTGATCTGGTATCTTGACTTGAGTCAATTTCTTATTGACATGATGTTGTTCCCTCTGTCTTTTCTACAAATACTTTCATGGCAACTGTTCTGATGAGCTTTTTTCCTTAGTGCTTCAACTGTATGAATTTAAGTGTAAGACTAGATTGCTTCCATGTCACCTACAACATTCAAACATTTAAATGCAATGTCAATTGCCATCTTCTGCTTTCATGAATTCTGTCCTTTTTGTCCTTTTTCCTCACTTCTCCACACTAAAGTTTTCTCATTTTCTTTCATTTCCTGTAACCCCCTGCATCTTAGTGGCATTATCACTTTGCTTGGGATGGCATGATTAAAAAAAGAAAATTTCTAAAACTTATATTATAGTCAATATGAGATTCATGAAAAGTATTTATATAGTTTAAAGATTCCCTTGTTATGCAATTTTATTATTTACTATCTTATTTTTACATACTATAATTCAAACAGTACAAGGCTCGAGAGCCAAACATGGTTGAGTGTTATTGTTAAAATTGTTATGATGAATGAGGTGTGACATAAGTGAAATTATTATGAGGTAGGAAGTGAAGATTATGAGAAGAATGAGAATAGATAATAATAATAATAATGATGATGATCCCTGTGATAATAAAATAATAAACACATCTCATCTCCCCCCCTCTCACTTGTAACCATCTACTATATTTAAATAATCATTTTCAGTGTTAAAGTTGTATTAATGAAATAAAGCTTCATAAGCTTCTACTTAGAGTTGTTACTATATTACAATCCCCTCAACTTGAAGGGGTTAAGATTGAAGTTTTTGAGGATGCATCCACATGAGAGTCGATTTCATAAAATAGCACTTTTGGGGGAAAAAAACTAGATGGAACTTTCTCCTTATGTTATTGCTGCTCAATGTACTTTCTTGCTTATTACTTTTAGATAACTTTTTGTGACATTCTTAAAGTCAATTCTTTCTTGTTATTTATACAGGATGTTCACAGAATTAATTGATAAATAGAAAAAATTATTAAAACTACAATAGAAACTAGATACTGTTGAAATGTTTACATAATATGAAGTAAATGGACTAAGGTATTTGGTCTCTAGTAAGTTGTCTGTTGGTCACACCAACATTGTTGTGATCTTTAGTATATATATATATATATATATATATATAATCTTATTACATTGATGCAAATCATTTAATGTTAATAATTCTAACATATGTAGCTTATTTTGAGGGCATACAATACATACATCATATACATTGCACTGCAGAATAAATAAATTTTATCTCAAATTTTCATAGATGTGTACAGTACACAATGTATACTGTACATGTCCATGAAGTTGCTAGATGAAGCATTTTAATGAAAAGAGTAAATACAGATTTTTAAAAATGGCTTTGCTGTAGGTGGAGGATTTGTATTGTACTACAAAGCAAATTAATTTTATCTCAAGTTTTTCAAAATTGAAATTTGCATGAAGCTGAAAAACAAGATAAAATTTCCTACCTTCTCCCAGTGGGTCAATTGTATGAATCATCAGTTGTAAAAATCCATGCCGAAATCTTCCACTTCCAGAGTGGAGAATTGGCAAACTGCAACTTCTTACTGGTTTCTAAGAAGAAAAACAAGTATGCAAAGATTTATAAATATTTAAAATATTTTCAGAGAAACAGAAGTAGATTGATCTCATTCTAATAAAATCATTTTTAAAAGAATAAATGGATAAATATTTTAAATTAGTAAAACACATTTTTGTTTCCATAAGTAACAACAATAACTTTTGCATAAGTGAAAAAGTAAATTTGCCAATAAATTAGGTCATAACAACGGATAAAATTAGACCATTTTTATATCTCCAGCATACTGAAATACTCAACATCACTTTAGAAGGCCTACATAATGATATTTCATGTTTTAAATATACATTCATTTTTTAAGCCATGATATAAACTAGAGACTACTTGAAAAGAGTATCTGAATAAGAAATTGATTGAAGAAAATTTTTAAACAGTTTGATGCACTCATTCCACTGGTAATATCCACCATTCATAAATAGAAAGAAATTGGTATCATATCAACTCTTGCAAGATCTAGCCATCCAAGAAAGATTTCAACATGAGAGTTGATCAAAATACCAAGTTTCAATCAACCCAAAATTGAGTATAAAAGTTATTCAACAAATAGATCCCGATTATGCTGGAACATATACACATTGAACATTAATCCTATAAAGATGTTGTGGACAGGTTGTACAAAAAAAGCCATTACTGAAAAAAAACTGAACATGTAGCATTCACTCCAAAAAGATTTTGGATAACTCAAGTAATTACTGGCATACAGTGATTTGGCCAAAGAAATAAAAATTAAACATAAAAAAAACCCTATAATTTCCAAAATATCATTCCTAAGTTCATCTTTAGTGGTAAATAACTATCTTCTAATTTAAAAATTTAAATTGGGTAAACAAACTAGAAGCTTCATCAAATGAGTGCTGCCATTTCATTTCTATATTCATTAGTTTCCTTTGTCAAGTGTGATAGACCACTGTAGTATGTAAAATCTTCTTTCTTAAAATGTTTGGTTTCTTCTTGAATAATAGCTTTACATGTACCTTCAAAAAATTTTATATATCTGTGTTGTCATTTTGACACCATCTGTAACTTCCCATCAACCCACTACTTTACCATAGAAAGTCCCATTCCACCTAAGTGACATCATACTCACCAGTGAAAAGAACAGTTGAAAAATTGGTTTAATTTTTTTGTGATAGAATTCATTCAGTTTTCCAAATGCATTTATTTTAAAGATGACCTAGTGATTGATCACACATGTTTTGACACTTTCCTTACTTAATATTGGACACAAATCAGTGCGATAAATCATTAAATTATTATCAGACTGGCATCAGAATTGTCTAGAATCTTCAGCAAATTTCTCTACAGTTTGATGATACCTGTTGATCATTTTCCAATTTCTTTTGCAAGCTTTCAAATTGTTAAACCTCTTTATCCATCAAATCAGATATAAGACCCATTTTAAAGCTTCAGACTTGCCAGGTGGCTATTGAGATTTCAAATTCAAAGTCTTCCATAAAAACAGATGCCATTTGTTTACATTTGTACAGAATAAAATTGTTTGCATCCTAACTGCACTTGCTATCATTCAATAAACAAACCCTTAGATTCTAATAAGAATTTATTTTATATATATATAAAAAATGAAGCATGCATTATTGTGAAATAAAGTGTGTATATATATATATATATATATATATGTGTGTGTGTGTGTGCATGTTTGCACATATTCATCATTTTTTCAGTGTAAGATACAACTTGTAACTTTTATACATTCAAAAAATATGCTGGAATTACTAATCAGAATGGAAAGGAGTTAAATAAAACATTCATGTGTTTTAATAATTCATTTTAATTCAAAATTACTTTCAAAAGACAAACTGTTAAATTAAATCATGAAATATGTTGGTGTCAAAAATTAAATATTGAAATAAAAGCCATTACAACAATTTCTGTTTCTTTCTTCTATAAAATCTTCAAGAATTTACTGAGAAAAATTTGAATAAATAAGTAAATATTGGATATTTTATTTGTGTGATTAAAATTCTAAAAATAAAATTAAACATCTGGTTGATCTTCTGTGCAACCAAAATACAAAGAATAAAATTTGACCAGTGAAATTGATTTAATTTCATTGGTCAAGTTCTAAAATTTTCAAAAAATTGTTTAATATTATAAATATTTGTATATTTGATGATATTTATTCTTCAGGCAAGTATTTCAACTTATTTCATTCATAACAAGCAAGAGTCTGTTGAAAAATATTTGTTGTTTAAAATAAATTTCTTAGTTCTTCATTAGGTTACAGTTGAATTGATATAGTAATGTCTGTAAACAGTTTGTAATACTTTGAAAAATTACTCAGACAAATTTTCAAATAACTAAAATAATGTTTACTTCTTTGTAAATTGCAACCTCAGTCTTCATTCTTCAAAGAAGAACCATATTTAAATCAATTGTGCTATTCACATTTTTAGATGCTCTCAATTAAGAGAGACACCATTTGCATCTTAGAAAATGATTCTGTAAAAAAATTGATTTAAATAATGCAGACAAAATTTTTACACAAGCTGGAAAATAAAGGTTTTGCATTTCATAAAAGTAAAATATAGTGATAAATTATATCCAAGATAAAAGCAAAGTTTTACACGAATTTACAACACAGAAGAATTTAAGTACATGCATTATTCAGTTTGAATCATAATTACATTAAACAAATTTTTATTCATGCTGAATTTTACAAGTTTTCCTCGTCCAATGTAGGGATTAAATAGTAGTTTAGGCTGGGCTCTTGAGATTTGGGTGATGATTAATCAAGAAGCAGGTCTACTCTAAATTCAAAACCATCAAAAAAGGTAATAGGAAAACCACTCCACAATTTTTTTCTAATAAGTCATCGTAATTCAAAGATAATAAAAATTGGGAAATGTCTACATATGATGCTTCATTCAATTTCAAAATGAGATCTGTTTATTTTTGCAAGTAATATCCAAAATAAAAGTAATTTTTAAAATTTACAAAATTTAAACTACCCAATTATTCTGTTTAGAATAGTATGTCTAAATTTTAATATCAAGAAAGAGAAAATATGTTTTATAAAAGATTTTACTGATTTTTTGACATGTGACATGTGACATGTTTCTATTTCTCTTGTATTTCATTTGCTTTTGTATCCAATATGACAACTCAAGCTGATTATAACTATAAAAATGTAATTCTATAAGATACCAGTAATTGTTTAGCCAAATTCAAATACATTTCACAAATGATACCAAAGGAAATTAATGTTTGCAATTTTAAAAAAAGTAAGATTCAATATGCTTTACATCAGTGGCTTGCAACTATTTTCCTCACAGACAACTTTTAGTCTTAATTTGTTTTTTTTTGTGGAGTCCCATAACTATTTGATGAAAAAAAGCTTATTTTATTTTTTACTAATAGATAAGTTTAGGAATTGTAGTATGGAAGTAGTAAATATAAATGCATTATTTTGAAGTAAAACTAATTTAATGAAAATAAACTTGTATTTAACAACTGAATTCTATGGAACATTTATGTAAACTACTAAAATAACTATATTTTTTGTGTGGACCCCAGAAATGTTATGTGGGTACCTCTTGAGAATCACTGTTTTAGAAAAATATTATATCTGTTTCTTGAACCTTTCATAAACCTTTTTATCTTTGTTGGTAAGTTTTCTTGTAGTAAGCTTCTAAATTTTGAGGAAGTACAGAAAAGTTCTCAACTTGACTGATTTCCCCCAAATCTTGTGAGGGTAAAGATTTTTAGTGAGCCTGTAAACTTTTCATCAGTCCCTTACACAGTATGTAGAAATAATTGCAATACATTAAGAAAAAGCTAATGGTTGAGAAAAGATGCCAGACTTGGTTCTAAAGAAGAACACTGAGCACATAAAATACAGCCAGAATAAGAGGAAAAAAAAACTCCTTGTAAAAAAGCTCATTTGACAACATAAAAGGATATTCAGGGGATGTGTGGATAAAAGTTATCTGTACATAAAGCAAAATTGGAAAACTGACTTCAAATTCTGGTCTCATCTACTGAATTCACTTTCACACACATCACTTCAGGAAAGGCATAAATCCATTTTTCCTCCCCCAATGTATGGGATGAATAGTAGACTGGGCTCTTGAGCTTTGGGTGACAACTAGTCGAGGAGCAGGTTTATGGAAAAAAGTAATAGGAAAACCACTCCACATCTTTTCCCAAAAAGTCATGTTAATTCAGAGATAATAAAGAAAAGAAATTTGTGGAGAGACAGGATTGCTTATGTCTTTAAAAAAAAAAAAACAGATATCATTTTAAAGTTGTTTGTCAATCTGTAAGAAGATGAAAACACTTTTTCTCATATGATTAGCATATAAAGATATATTCTTTTGTGGTATTTTTCATATCTTGCTAACAAATTATGCATCTATAAGTCTATTTATCCATCTACAGGACACAAAGAGAGATTGTCTCCTTCAGTGATGAAGAGAGCTGGGGTTTACCAGTGGTTGATGTCTGAGTTTAGGTAAAATACATGATTTTGAATTTTTTTTAAAAATCATTTTACTCCAAGCATGGTGATAATGCTGCTAAGACTCCAGAGATTACTGGGAGTGAAAAGAAATGAGAAGCCCTTAGTGAGGATAAAGAACAATAAAAGAAGAGGATTCAGGAAGAAAGAAGATGGCAATTGATATTGTATTTAAATTTTTGAAGATTGTTGATAGCAGGGAAGCAAGAAACCAGAAAAGAGTTCCACAGATCAAGGCAGGCTTTTTTCCATTTCAAGTAATATAGTCAACCAAATTTGTTTTTGTGCTAACATCAGATAAACTTAGGAAGAATATATATCACAGCTATGCATTTCTTGAATGCAAGTCATGCTTTGCATTAGCATTTAAGATCAGCTGTTGTTTATTTTATAAAGAAAGAGATATGTAAATGTTTTTGTTAC